ATACATATGTATAATTAGAATAAAAATTCTTAATAATAATACATACTGAAAATCGTATTTGGTTTTATTTTTATTTTTGACAAATCTTACCAAACATTTTCACAATATTTTGTTTTATATATTATTCATAGTTCCAAATAGTTATTACAAACACTTACAATAAAGTTAATCGACAAACTCTTTATGATAGATTCCTAAGAAAGTTTAAACCATATACGGATGAATAGTCAAAGTGTTAATTCGCTTAACGATTAAACACCTGGAATTGATAGTCCACCTGTTACGAAATTTATTACTTTGTAGATGAGATCGAATCAGAGATTAGAAATTATTTCTAATAAATTAAGTGCTTTGAAATGTGGTAGGTTAGATTTATGCCAACGAATGTAACATTCACTTCAACATTTTATCTGTTTAAAGATTATACGATTTTAGACGGAGAATGGTACAGGGTGTTTATGTGAACTGGTGACAGTCCCGTTATTACTTTAAATAATGAAGATGTAAAAAATTATTTTGCATAAAAACTGCGTAGCACGATCACGTTAATATATTGGTAGAAACGAATTTTTTTAGATTATTATAAGTGCCATGAACGCCAGTTTTTGTTAAGTGGAACCTTTTTTTTGTAAATGTAATTAAGAAATTAATTAAGAAAAAAGGTTAATGTAATAAAAAAATTAATTAAGAAAAAAGGTTAATGTAATCAAGATATTAATTAAAAAAAAGATAAATATAATTCAGAAAAAAGATGAATATAATGAAAAAACAAATAAAAAAAATAAATGTAATAAAAAAAGTAATGAAGAAGAAAGATAAATATAATTAAGAAACAAATAAAAAAAATAAATGTAATAAAAAAATTAATGAAGAAGAAAAACATAATTCAGAAAATAAATAAAAGAAAGATGAATGTGATTAAGAAATTGCAGTTGTAGTTAATTTTAAATTTGTCTAAAATATACAAAAGGAAAAAGTTTTACTGTTTTTTGTAGTCAACATAGTAGAATATGCAAATTGTACACATTTGCAATATTTTTGGAGAAGTTAAGACGTTCTTCAAGAAATTATATAATTAACCAAATAAATTCAGAACTGTTTGCATATAGCAAATTTTATTTTGTATAACATTAATTTTCATATAACAAATGTGTGACTACACTCTTAAATAAAAAGTTAATCTGACTATCAGGTACAGTAATATTAATCGATAAAATTTTATGAAAGTTTAAATTCCTCAAATTTACAAGAAAAACCCTGTGAAATTGATTAATTCATTGAAATTATATTAAACGTAAGACCAACGTCGATGGTGGTCGTTAAAATTGCTGGATGTGTTTTGTAACGAGGAAATTATGTTCTTTTTATCAACGTTATCGATTAATAATGACGTTCTCTACATAAGATTATCGTGTTTAGAATTTAAACGACGCGACTATGAATTTGTAAGTGAAGAGGACTACTGTTTAAGTGTTTAGTTAATAAGTTACCTTCTAGAAATTTTTGTGTTACTTCAGTCAGTGAACTTTCGTGTTTGCAATAATGTTTTTTCAGGAATTTATAGCTGACTAATAATTTATTGTATTTTTGGTGGTTATTAAGTGTGTTGAAAATGAATAAATGTAGTTTGCGTATGTTATAATATATGCTATATAATGTATGTTATAATTGTTATTATTTGTAGTCGTAATGCATTATCAATTATTTTATTGCATATACAATGTACAGTTATATACATATGTATATACATATAGTTACTCATATATTATATTCTTATTAACATACTCCACATCACATTCATTGTATATGCATTTAATGAATATAAAAATTTATAATACTCATATGAAGATTGTGTTAATAAAATCATCATGTATAAATAATTATACATATACACAATTACTATAATGAATAATCATACAGCTAACAATACATTTGAGCAATATTAATAATTATATTCATTTTATTAATTTGATATCTATTAATCCTTAAGTTAGCAAAAGAATTCCTAAAATTATCATGTTACTTAATGTAACCTTTAAAATACATTGCAAATATCTTGAAAAATATTCAAAATCAAATTTTTTAAAACACGAAGAAATATTAAAAAATTTATTTTTATCTTTCACACTTATTACTATTGTAAAATCACCTTATAGCCAATGATACTATTTATACGAAAAAATTTTTTAACATCATTACAAACTCGAGAACCTTCATCACCCAGCTCGAAAACAAAAAACAAAAACATTCTACAAATTTTCCTGTATAAAAAGCAATTTGAATAATAATTTGAACATTTTCTATTTGAGAGCAATGTATGCATACACATTCTTGCATACATGCTTCCATAAAAGGCTAACGGAAAAAAAAATATTCGTTAACTCAAAACCACCGAATACGATAAAAGAAAATAACAGTGACTAAATTCGATGGAAAAATACAAAACACATGAGTCACAATCAAAGGTGCTAGCAAATTGTATAAATATAGGAAAAAAGTGATTTGTTTTAAGAAAGAGTTAACGAAAATAGAAGCTCGTGTTAATGCTTCCTTTTCTTCGAGCATGTTTTGTCTCTCAACGTCCATCATCCGCCATGTCTCAAAAATAAGAGAAAGCAACCATACTCTGCGTGCAAAACGTTTGTGGGTAAATTTTATTATCGACTCGCGACGATTGGACCTCATTTTTATATGCTTCTGTGCCAATAAATCGGTGTTTAAAAGTGAAAGTATTTGCGGTCATAAAATCGTAGAAACCCGTTTCATTGTTTGAACACGATTCTAAAATAATGTCCCTGAAATTTATTTATAACCATTACGGACAGAAAGCAAATAAATAGACAGATAGATCAACTTGATGTCGGAATTTATTTGAACAAATTGCGCACCTGCTTAATTACCATAAACGAGTGTACGATTATGAACGCGAGAATCAAGGATCACGTTCAATTGAAATACACCTGATCAGAAATTGTTACAGAAACTATCGAGATATGCCTGGCTGATTAGGATAATGAGAAATCAACCGAGCAATCTAAAAATACGCGATATTCATAGCTTTCAAGATCAGATAAAATCTTTACAGACATTTCTGGTTATTATAGCCGGATATCGTATAATTTCGACATTTGATGGATGCTTATGTCGAACTAGCAGAAAAGTGAACGCTGAGTAGAAGAAGTAATGTTGGGTAACAGTGAGGGTACATCAAGTGCCTGCTGAAGGGCATAACACGTGCAAATATGACAAATCACACATTTTTTTAATTTTTAATTCATTAGTTTTCGAATTCACGAATTTAGAAATTTAAATGTTCAGAAATTAGGATTTTCAGGATTCAGAAACGCAGAAATTTTCAAGTTTTATTTTTAACTATATTTTCAAATTTTAGTGTGTTTATATTCATACTATTGAATTTTATTTTATTTATAGTCAAATTTTCAAATTTTATTTTATTTATTTTCAAATTTAATAATTTCATAATTTCATAGGTTAGTGGTTTGTAAGTTCTATTTAAAAAAAAATCCGAAACGCATCAGAAAAATTAGCTCCACATTTACATATAAATTTTTATTCATACCTAAGTATTTTTACTCGAGTAGGTCCAAATAAATAAAAAGAAAATAAACTAAACATGAAATAAGAAAAACAGTATGGTAACCACAGCAACATCATTTGATCGAAAAGAATTATGCATTCAACAAAATTCGATCAATCATCTAATCATGAATAGAACTCTAATTATGAATAGAACAAAGTACAAATGTTCTCTACAATAAAAAATAAAAATTGTTTTTCTAAGAATACCTGCTTAAAATATTCCACGTACTCGTTAAAATTCTATTGCTACCAAAAGACCTTTAACGTTTTGTTTCGTGGCATCTTCACGAAATATAATTCATTACGGTTTATTTTATTTTACATTTTTACAAATACCAGATGGCTGGCAATTTGTACCAGGGACAGTACCCAAACTACAAATCACCAGCATGTTTATTGCACGCAAATCAACAAGACCGTTTTTGAGAGTTAGTTTATTACTTAATACGGCAGTTAGAATATTTTAGATTTTTTGAAGTCCTCAGCGGCCAATTGCCCGTGCCATAAACATGAGTTTCCGAAGGGTCGCCAAATTGACCCTGGTGACCGTCATTCCCGTCAGGTAATCGGCACCCATACCCATCGGAAACTCCATCAAATTTTGTTTAAACATTCACCGTTACGTCTTCCACTTCCACTGATACTTCCTACTTCCTACAAATCGCGTTTCGGACGCAAGGAAGTAGGGATAGGTCAGTGGTGCCTAAATTCAATTGGTCAAGGAAAACGACTGATCAAGCGAAGAGGTGGAAGTACACACTTTTCTTGTACTCAAATAGAGAAGTCGTTAGTTAGTTATACGTTAAAAACTAAAAGAGAAACATCATCTCTTCAACCGGGAAACATTATAATCCCGCGTTTTTCTCAAGTCCGTACAGTTTCATTTTCATTCATAATTAAATAGTTACTTATATTTCACAATCGCAAATCTTGTATATTTCTGTCTACATCAATTACACCCCAAAATATTTCCTACCTCAGTAAAAAGTCGTAGGAATTTTACGAGGAAAAACATTTGGTCCTTCGAGCCGGATATTCTCCGGCAATAAGTGAAAGTTCACACAATTTAAATAAGTGCGGTTGTGAACAATTAACATTCAACTTTGAAAACGTGGTATAAGTGGTGCGACAAGTTTAGTGACACCACACCTACGGCAACACATCGTTCCTGGTACCATCCTGCATACAAGGACCATCCTACAGTAGGACAACCGTGCAGTAGGACAACCGAGCAGGACAGCCGTACAGCCTGTGGACCACAGCATCCGCAGATCAACGCGTCCTCGCCATTCTGGACCATCCTCACGCGGATACAGCAACGTCGTCAAGGACATCAGGTCTCCGCATCGTAAAGGTAGGCTTTTTAGTTTTTCGCCGATATCCTTGATTTTCTTCCCATCATGTCTAAATCCTCAGACGATTCCGCCAATCAATCTGCCTCACAAGGTATTCATACCACTGCACTACGACGTAAGCGTGGTAATATCGTCGGTCACATCACCGCGTTCGAGAAAACAATCGAAAAAATGCAGAAAGCCGAAAAGCGCGATATTAGTCTTTTGCGAGCACATTTAGATGGCATGCGTGCCATTTGGGATCGTTTTGACGCGATTCAATTCGAGTTAGAAATGCTAGACGACTCTGAGAGTCCGCGTCGTTTTGAATTCCATGATCGGTACATAGCCGTGATTGCGCAAGCAAACCAGTTAATCGAGGGAGGCCGTTCATCCGCGATTCCGCGAAGAGACACTACGGATTCTTCAGCACCATCTGTAACAGCCCCGATGGCAATCAAGTTGCCAGAAATGCGACTCCCGACCTTCGACGGAAATATCGAGAACTGGACATCGTATTTTGATAGTTTCTCGTCCATGATCGATCAAAATATCGATCTTACTTCCGTGCAGAAGTTGCAGTATTTAAGATCAACGCTCACGGGAAGGGCCGCCGCATGTATCCAGTGCTTAAGTACAACCGACGCGAACTACGCAGACGCGATTTCTCTATTAAAAGAAAAATTCGATTGTAAACGGCGTATACTCTTAAAACATTGCGATGCGATATTGTCGATGCCTAAGCTAACGCGAGATACGCCAGAAGCGTTAGGGGATTTGGTGGACACGATTCGCCAGAATCTCAGGTCACTCAAAAATTTAGGCATCGATACATCTTCGTGGGATTGCATCTTGATATCCGTTATACTGTCTAAAATTAGTGTAGACTCCGCGTGGCAGTGGGAAATTTCTTTAAAAGATAATCAGATGCCATCGTATCAGAATTTATTGGATTTCCTAGAAAAACGCGCGAATTGCTTGCCGTCGATTCAACTTAAACCGTCGGCACCGAAGCAGACGAGCTATATTGCACCCGCGAAGCCAACTCATAAATACGCAACACGAGCCCACGCGTTTGTAACGTCCGCGAACGCCAATAATCCTAAACGGCAACGCGATCAAACACGGAAGATGGACCCAACAAGATCAACCGCGTCAACCGCGTCTACCGCGACATCCGCGTCATCCGCGAGTCCTCCGAAATGCGCGATTTGCCACGGTTCGCACGGGATCTGGAGCTGCGAGAAATTCCACTCCCTCTCGATCGAATCAAGAATCGCAGCCGCTAGGAGAGCATCACTTTGCGAGAACTGTTTAAGGGCGGATCATAATCCAGATGTTTGCAAAAGAAGTTACTGTCGGATTTGCAAGCAACATCATCATACGTTAATTCATCGGCCGAAGTCAACTCCGGATCGCGTAGGCGAAGCATCGACGACGAAGCGCGAATTATTGCCGCTCGACGAGGGAGAATTGGACGATTGACAGAGACCGCTTGGGAGCCCTAAGGATTCAACCCGTTTTAAAGTATTCACTATAGATACCGTTAATAATGATTTGCTCGTCACCGCTCAGGTTAAAATATTGGACAATACCCAACGTCCAGTTAACTCGCGAGCATTAATTGATACAGGTGCAACGACTAATTTTATAACGGAAGATCTTGTGGAACGGTTGAAAATCCCGAAGAAGGAATGCTCTATTCCCGTAGGGTCTCTCAATGCCATGACTACGATCGCGAAATATAAAGTTACGGCAACCATTCAGTCAAAAGTTAACGCATACCAGCGAACTTTGACCTTTTTGACCGTCCCGAAAATTGCTCAACATATTCCTGATCAACCCTTCGACCGGTCAAGGATTAAGATACCGCGGAACATTCAACTGGCGGATCCCGATTTTCATCGACCAGCACCGATTGAATTACTTTTCGGTTCCGGAGCCGCTCTGTCTATGTTAAGCATCGGTCAAATTAGTTTATCTGCGCCCAAAGAACCCGACCTATATCTTCAAAAGACCAGATTAGGATGGGTTATCGGGGGGAGCCCCCCATCTCCGGCACAGGTACACGGCGCCTCGTGTCACTTATCAAAATCGTTGCAATCTGAAATTGCACGATTTTGGGAGATTGAGGAAGGGCCACAACGGCAGTTATACTCGGATGCTGACAAATATTGCGAAGCACATTTTCTGCAACACGTTTCGCGAGGATCAGACGGGCGATATACGGTAGCGTTGCCGTTCAATAACAAAATAATGCAGCTGGGTGAATCGAAATCGCAGGCTCAAAGGCGATTCATTTCACTCGAAAGGAAACTTCAGCGCAACCCAGCGTTAAAGAAGGACTATCATGCAGTGATAAAGGAGTACCTCGACCTAGGGCATTTGATGAAGATTCCTGAGGACACGGAATCATCAAGAGGATTCTATCTACCGCATCATGGAGTGGTCAAGACAACCAGCGAGACGACGAAACTACGTGTCGTTTTCGACGGCTCCGCGGCCACGAGTACCGGGGTATCCCTCAACGATGCTCTTCACGTCGGACCGAAAATCCAGGATGACTTGCTGTACATCCTTCTTCGTTTTCGTATCCACCGTTACGTCATCACCGGTGATATCGAGAAGATGTACAGACAGTTCATCGTCCGACCGGAAGATAGGAAATATCAGCGGATACTTTGGCGTGACGCTGACGGGGAAATTCAAACTTATGAATTGCAACGCGTCACGTTCGGACTCTCTGCCGCGCCGTACCTAGCAATACGTTGTCTCTCCCAACTCGCCCAGGACGAAGGTCACCGTTTTCCGGAAGCTGCGAGAATTCTTTGTCGCGATTTCTATGTCGATGATGCGCTTACCGGAGCATCGTCTATCAGCGAAGCACGCGCAATCCGTAATCAATTGACGCAATTGCTGAGCTTGGCGGGCCTCAACATAAGACAATGGGCAGCCAATCATAAATCAATTTTGAGGGATCTTCCAGAACAAGATTTAAATAAGAAACTACATTTCGGCGACTCACCAAATTTAAAGACTTTAGGAATCTTCTGGAATTCTTCTAATGATTCTATATCGTATGAGGTTAAGGCGCAATCCCCCACAACACGGGTAACAAAACGGGTCATTGCTTCAGAGATCGCGAAAATCTACGATCCTCTCGGTCTTTTAGGACCTGTTATTAGTACTGCGAAGATGTTCCTACAAAAAATATGGACCATCAAGCTCGATTGGGACGAATCATTGCCAATGAATGTTTTTACAGAATGGTCCCAATTTTACAGGCAATTACCGTTATTAAACAACATAATATTTCCAAGGAAGACCATCCCTTGCACATCGACGGTGACGGAGTTGCACGGTTTCTGTGACGCAAGCGAAAGGGCCTACGGTGCATGCGTTTATCTCAGGTCAATAGATAAACATGGTTATGCACATGTGGAGCTCCTTTTTGCAAAGTCGAAAGTGGCGCCATTGAAGTCGCAGTCAATCCCTAGACTCGAATTGTGTGGCGCTTTGCTTTTGACATCACTGATAACCACTGCGAAAAAGGCCCTCCACATTAATATCAATAATACATTCCTCTGGACGGACTCTACTATTGTCCTCCACTGGCTTCAGGCGTCTCCGCATACTCTGAAAACGTTCGTGGCGAACAGGGTAACGGAGATTCAAGAGAACACCAGGATCAAGGACTGGCGACACGTCCCTACGTTGGATAACCCCGCGGATCTGATCTCGCGTGGCCAGTATCCTGAAGAATTTTTGCAACCATCCATCTGGCACCAAGGACCAGAGTGGCTCTGCAAAGATGAATCTTCATGGCCGACGACAACACTGCTACCACTGGAAGATATTATACCAGAGCAGAAGACAGCGACCTGTTTAATTACAGCTACGTTAGATACCAGCATCCTGGACAATTATTCTTCTTGGGCACGTATGCAGAGAATTATTGCATATTGTCTACGATGGAAGAAAAGCAACAACATTAAAGGGTACCTCACCGCTATTGAAATCAAGAATGCTCATAACACGATTATCAAACTTCTCCAGCAGGCACATTTTGCCAAGGAACTGCGACTATTGTCAAATAATAATAGCGAAATCGGAGGAAAATTGCAATATTTATCTCCCTTTTTAGATAAGGACGGCATTCTGCGAGTAGGAGGTCGTCTAAAACATTCATTCATTCCGTTTCCGCAACGTCATCCTATAATATTACCGAAATCACGGGTGACAATACTTATTATTGAAGCTGAGCACAGAGCTCAATTACACGCTGGCGTCCAGAATACTCTACATGCCGTTAGACGCAGGTATTGGCCCATTGACGGACGAAACCAGGTCTGGAAGGCGCTAAGACCCTGCACGCGCTGTTTACGAGCTCGACCGCCGCCAGTGGATTACATCATGGGTGATTTACCTGCAGCAAGAGTCACCGAGTCGCGACCATTTACCCACGTCGGCGTAGATTATTGCGGCCCTTTCTACGTTAAAGAAAGGAAACATCGAAACCGCGCGAAAATAAAGGTCTATGTAGCGGTTTTCGTCTGTCTGGCAGTCAAAGCGGTACACTTGGAAGTCGTAAGTGACCTGACTAGCGAGGCGTTCATTGCTGCGCTCAAACGGTTCATCGCGCGGCGGGGATTTTGCACGAATCTGTACTCAGATAATGGTACAAATTTTGTTGGCGCTAATAATGAATTAAAAGACCTTCGCGAATTAATTCGATCCGATGACCATCAAAAAAAGGTAACAGCCTTCCTAGCGGATAAAGCTATTGCTTGGAAATTTATTCCACCTCGTGCGCCACATTTTGGCGGATTGTGGGAGGCTGCCGTCAAGGCTTTCAAGCACCACCTCGTACGCGTCGTAGGCAGTGAGTTATTTACGTTTGAGGAATTTAATACTTTAATTATACAGATTGAATCCATTTTGAATTCCCGACCTCTCACGCCCCTATCATCCGACCCGAACGACCTTTCAGCCCTGACTCCCGGTCATTTCCTTATCGGCGAATCGCTAACTAGCTTACGCGAACGAGATTTTGCCGATACTCCGTCGAATAGGCTTTCGACATGGCAACATATCCAAAAAGTTAAACGACACTTTTGGAATCGTTGGCACCGGGAGTACCTCAATGAGCTGACTAGGCGCAGTAAGTGGACCAAGGGCAGCCACAGCATCAAGGAGGGCACGATCGTACTCATCAGGGACGACAACGTTCCCCCCATGCACTGGGCACTGGGCAGAGTGCTCAAAGTTCACCCCGGGTCTGACGGCATTGTGCGCACGGTGACAATTAAAACCGCCACCTGCACGTTAGATCGGGCCGTGAAACGTCTCGTGCCATTACCCCAACATTCAGAAGAAGACGATATCAACCAGGTTGAATCACACATTACCATAAAGTAGTCGAGCTTGGTTGTACCTCCGAACTCCACAGTGATCGTGATTTCAACTCTGTTGTGTATATAGTTCCGTGTAAATTTGTGTATATTACTTCATTTTTATTATTATTACTTTTTATCTTTTATTCCTATCATTTTCGTATTTAAGTGTACAGTTTTGATTCCATGTAGAGACATGTATATATTAGGTTTAATGTCATCATATGTATAGTTTCATACTCATTCATATTCATAAATTGTATCATCTTTCATTATCATCTTATGTACAGATATATTGGTTTATTTATCCATATTTGTAATTGTTGAAACTGTACGGTCGTAACTTCAATTGTTGTACAACGTACTTAGCATATTTTTATATCTTCTATCTATTCATACTTTAGCGAATAGGTTGATCGTAATCCTCTCAACGGGGGGAGGATGTTTCGTGGCATCTTCACGAAATATAATTCATTACGGTTTATTTTA